CATTTTTCCTTATTAATCAGCTATTCGATATAAAAGTGAACCAAATGGATGGTTTATGACAAAAATATGTCAATAAAATTGTCTGTACCTTTTACTGTATAACTAACTCAAAATGACTTATAACAGTTTTTATCAACCGAATGTTTCTTTCCCACACCTTGTGTGTTTGCTTCAAAAACTCCAAAGATCATATTCAGTACAATCCCTCAGACTAAAGAGTCCTTCCATTCCTAAGTTCTTTGTCATATTGTGAGGTCTTTGTACTTCGCGTAGTACATTCAACGTAGATTTGTCCATTTTCCTCTTTCCAGTATGCATGTTTGCATCTTTTATTCTTTTTACAAGTTTTTTTGTAATCTGTATTGCTCTATAAAATAAGTTCTCGAATTTGTTTCCTTATTTTTCATCTTTTTTTCTGCTAATTGTGCTTCTCTCATCTCCCTCCATTTCTTTAGTGCATCGACTGTTCGTTTCGTGCTCACATGTTGGTACTTCTTTTCATAATATGTTCGTCTTTCCGTTTGTTTCTTATTTCTTTCCAGCAGAGAAGCAAGCCTGCCTATTAATTTAGACGTTTTGTTGGTCATCGTTTGCACGCAATCGCTTAAAGAATCTTTAAAGTTCTGCATTGTTGAAACTTGGTTGAATCCTTGTCGCTAAGTCACCAATGACAATCACTGTATGATACAAAACATCCAGCACGCGTGCTTTATTTACCCATATCGTCTGTGTGTTTATCACATCTTTGCTTTAAACTCAGACGTCACTCATTATCAAAGAATGTACGTCTTGCCAGTGTGTTGCTAATATCTGGGATTGACAATTTTAACTTGTCGAACGTTTCAGAAGACATGTCGTTCACCTTGCGAATGTTTCAAAGTCACGCACTCAGCCAAGTCAATATGCTCCATTAAAAGTATTACTTATATCTAAATCTTCTTCATTTTAATTAGAATTGTTCATTATCATTTTTTTATCAAGATGGAATCAAATAGCAACAGTATCAGGCCAGTCTTTTAACGTTTTTTTCAGGTATTAAATATACAACCATCAGGTTCAGTGTTCATATTATATAAGATGTTATTGTTTCACATTTCTTTCTTTGTACTTGTTTTATTGTATGTCCCTTCATTATAGTAAACTATCTTTATAAATAATTATTTTAAAAAGAATTTCATAAATACACAAATATTTCCTATAAATGTTTTCAGACTCAATATGTAATTTTAACACAATTCAATAAAAACTTGCGGGGATTTTTTTTATTAATTTTTATTTGTTGTTTTTTTTTTGTAAAATTGGAACCTTTGTAGTCATTTGTTTAGTTCGTTGGCTTCAAACAACTTCTCTCTAAATACTTTAGGATTGATTCCTGTCAGGAGACTTTCGAATATTTATATCTGAAGATATCCAAGGGCTTAGAGAAGACTGATGGTTCTATTTGGGTGTCAGCTTTTGCCTGAAAAAGTGCATGAATGACACCCAAGGTCACCCTATCGTAGTAAAGCTAGAAAAGGACTTAATAACCTTTACAGTTTATAAAGCCAACATACCTTACATAAGAAAAATGTTATATATATAGTAGATAGTTATGTTATATGAATGTTAAGGCAAAACAAAAGAACAATCCTTAGTAAAATAGTATGACATTGTTATTAATGGGATGTAGTTTTGATAAATAGTTTGGGGGTTTTTAACTGTAAATTTATGATATTTCTTTTTTAAACGTCATGTGATTTTGGAGATGTTGTAACAAGACTTTCATATTTTTGTACATTTTAAGTTTGTTATCCAGTACAGCTCCTTACGTTAACCGACAACACACATGGCACAACTTGCAATAAACCAGACATACGGGCAAACAAACAAAACCTACGGTCAGTAATCGTGCATGACTCTTCTCATTTCATTACTTTGACTCCAAAATAAGCGTAATATTTGTTTGATACCGGTATTATCTCATTCTTATCAAATATTCTCATTATCTATGTCTGTATAAAGAGAGTATTGCTTTGAGCACTCAAGAAACAATACAGCGTTTTTTGTTCATGTACATGTATACTTTTTTATTCAAAGTAGCTTAAAATGTGCCTCAATCAGATAAATCAAACCAACTGTTGTCAATACCGCAGTGCTTGCGTATCTTAAATTTATGTTCATTTACACATCGTCGCCATGTCGTTCACATCGGAACAAAATAATATCCGAAAAATTTGTTTTTATTGCTTACGTGTGTTGAGTTTGGCTTTTAAATACGAGGGTTAATGTCCTTAATGGCGTTTAAATTTGTCACGTCAGTATCTCTGGAAAAGACTTCAAAGACTTCACTTGAAAGAATCCAAAGTCCCTTTCGGGTTTCGAACCCACAGCGGTGAGGGTCAAGTCGTTTGAAGTCAACGACCTTAACCACTCGGCCACGGACGCCTTTTTGATATATGACTGCTTTTATTCTTAGATATGAAATTATTTTAAAGGAAAAATTAAAAGGATTACAGGTGTAAGATTTACTCTGTATTAAAAGAACAAAAAGTCACTTAATATTTCAAATATAATTATATACCAAAAACAGCAGTTATATTGTCCATTGGGACAATGATGAATAAAAAATATTCGCAATTAAAGTAGGAATAAAAAAAAAACATGTAAAATAGCATTTTCATTGATTAAAATCATATTCATCCGCGTAAATTGTGATTGAGCATTTATTGACAATTCTATAAGCCAACGCTACTTTAAAACTGTGAATGCGTTGTAATTTGTTGGATACTTGTAACAAAATAAAAATATTTCTTTTATTTAAATCGCTAGTTTTAAGCTGTTTTGAGAACTACTTGTTGTTATGTTTGTCGTTAACCGCTGTGTCAGAGATTAAATGTCAGCTTTGTACTTCCTGATCTTTGTTCAGAAAATACAAAAAATGAGTCTTTTTCACTTCAGACGGTCTTTATTTTGGTATGTGATAAATAGAATATTAGATTCATGCAAGTTCTTTACTGAATTCATTGAATTCGTTGAAAAAAAATATTATGATGATAGTTTTCAGGCGTGCTTTTTTTAAAATCATCTAATGACCGCTGATACTTTGTTCAGGATTTCGTTTCATTCGGCCCAAATCATAATTATGAGAAGTACAATCCTAATTCAGGCTTAATTGACTTCTAATACGAGGGTAAAAAGGCCTTATATAAGTCTCTGTAATTCCTAAGAAGTGTTTTATAATTCTTATTTGATTATTTCCTGATTGGTACCAGATGTTACAAGGCTCATGACGTACGCACAATCCCACTTCAGTATAAGATACCATCAAGAAAACAATGTATCAAGTCTGCCGTTTTTGCGCAAATAATCTCCTATAATCACTAAAATATGCAAACCTAGCCCGGAAAGCACGGACTTACGAGCTATGAACCGTAAATATATCTGAGACCCTAATCACAACTTAAATATCTCTCCATGCCGCTACCAATAAACATACTAATAACAAGGGCAACATTGTTGCAATATACGCCCGTCACAGAAGCTTTTGACAGAGATGAGGTCATTATAGTTATGCATATAAGTGTTTGAGATATGCTCTGGGCCATATCTGGTAAATATCTGGATATGCTCTGGGCCATATCTGGTAAATATCTGGATAATTATATTATCATCTGTAGTGATTTTTATTTTTGACCTTGACCTTAGCTGCAGATACCTAAATTTTGCGTACGACACTCCGCCTCACTATAGTGAACGTTTGTGTCAAGTTATATTGAAATCCCTTTTTGAATGTAGAAGTTTTGCTCCGGCCAAACGTTTTTTATGTCCTCTAAGTGTGACCTTGACCTTTGACCAAGAAGCCTGGTTTATGCACGCGACACGGCTTCTCATAGTGGTAAACATATGTATGAAGTTTCATTAAAATTCCTCCATGTGTGTAGGAGATATGCTCTGGACAAAAATTGGACGCCGAGCCCAGCCGCCCGACGGGGGACTATAATACGACCCGTTTTTCAAACGGGCGTATTTAAACTAAAATTTCTAATTACTGGTTTTAACTTATTACGAGTAGTGAAAAAAAACGTTAGAATATGTTATGAAAACATGCTTTATTCAACAATATGCTTTACATAAAAGATATTTTGAATAATACAGGTTCCACATATATATTGGAAAACCAAAAGGATGTTACTTAAAACAACGTTGATAATCTTATCAAGCACAAATGGTTAGACAAATTCTGTAAAATCATAACTGGAGCAGTCAATTAACTTAACTCCTCAAAAGAAATTATTTATTTGCTTGTTCAAAACTGAAATAAAATTAGAACAATATTTGATTAACTTACCAAAATAAATTAAGATCGTCACTTTCCTATTTTAGAACAGGAAACCATGGGTTGCCAATAAGAACAGGTAGATGGAGACGGTCCATTACGAGGAACGCAAAATCGACACCCATCTTAATGATTTAGGAGACGAATTTCACTATAAAATGTCCTTTTTCCAAGCGTTCATGTAACAATTTATTCCAAAATATCTTATAATCGACCAAATATTATCAAATTCTCACAAATTCAAGTTTCCGATTAATAGTGTCCGTTTAGCACGCGAGATTATGAATGCATTTAAAAGGGAATCCACTAAAACAAACCTTTTCAGTTGCAAGCCTGGTAAATCCATACAAATTTTGTAGCACTGTCGTTATACGTCCAGTCAATGAAACCTGTTTTGTCCAGCACACGTGCTGGCCTGTTCTTTAAATGTTCCAACAAATCAAAACGTGACTGCTGAACGCGCCAGTGTTCTCTCAAACGAAAATAAACAATTCACATTGCATTTATTCTGTAACATTCCATGTGTAAACATATGCAAAGTCGACTCTTATTTGGTCTAGTATTATATCTATCATAATGAACATGAAAATTCTGATATTCTGTTACAAGTCTTAGAAATATTTCTTGCAGTTTAATTAAATTACATTCAAATCAGAGGAGTGTAGAATAACCCAAATAATAGGCCAGTCATAATAGAAATTATGGTAAAACTAATTCCTTCACAAATGTTTTCACGATTAAATAAAAGATAAACATTATCTACATTTTGAGAAAAAAATCCTCAAAAAATCTCCTTGCAGAAGCCTGAAAAATCGATCATAAAGATTTAGTAAAAATCGATATTTAAATGTGTCTCTTAAATTACACCATACTTTAATGTTATGCACGTTCGGTGACGTCACGTTTATTATTATTTTGTTGAAAGATCTGAAGTTACTACAATTCCAGCATTCCTAGTGCAAAGGTAAGTAATTTTAGACATTTTTATATTCTTCTGTATAAATTTTAGGGGAAAATATGTCAGTAGATATATATAACTGACCACCAATCAATCGATTATGCAGATGACAAAATGTGTCATATAATTTCGCGATTTCAAACACAATTTTGAATGAAGTAATCATTAAAAGAGAGTTTATCTTTTACTCACTATTCTACATTGTTTTCTTTTTTACAATTATCTAAAATGACGCAAAATTAACCACACATCTAACTGAGTATTTAAAAAAATGTATATGCACAAATTATGTAAAGTTTTCTTTTCTACGGAAGCGTGTTGTGACCAAAATCACGAAAATCTAGGAATATTTTTAAAATGTTCAATTTGACTTAGATCTATTTCAAAGAGTTGGCATGTTTTACGAATTGTGGAAATCATAATTTAAACAAACGTATTTTGTAATACATAATGCATTTCTAAGCGAAATGATAATATTCCAGCATGTTATATGAGAAATTATATATTTAAACAAAGAGTTATTGATAATTATATACAAATATGGCATTCATCTCTAGAAAATAATTCTGTTTTAGAACTTTATAAAAATTGTAAATAATTATATTCATACGAAAACTATCTTAACATATTACCAAAGGATCTTAGATTTTACATCACCATAATAAGAATGTCTGCACATACACTAAGAGTACCAACGGGTAGATATGGTCAAAATAGAACCCTAAGGAGTGAAAGATACTGTTAATGTTGTTATACTATGGATTTAAAAGACGAATACCATTTTGTTTTGATATGCCCATGCTTTGTTGACATAAGGAAAAAATATGTGAAACAATATTATTACAAATGCCCATCAATGTGTAAATTCTTTAAACTGATTTCTTCTAATAATGAAATTATACTTACTAATCTAGCTAAATATTTGAGAGAATCGATTAAAATCAGGAACATTATTGTTAGTACTAACAACTGAATTTTGATATTTTGTTACAAATTTATACTTAAGTTAAAATTAAATTGATTTGTTGTATACTCTGCGTAACAAATTGTTTTATAAGTCGTACTAATATAGTCTTAATCCATTATTGTTCATTCTCCAGCTTTACATGAAATTCAATACTATATATTAAATCCTATATTATTTGTTAAAAAGAAACGTGACATCTTTACAATATGTGTATTTATATTGTAGTGATGGTGCACTATGTACAAATCCAAAATAAAATTTTGTTCTGTTATTTACAAAGTTTTATATCTTATGTTTTAACTATTTTTTATTCTATCATTCTAGACAATTTGGATAAATCTAATAATCTAATGTCAAAATGCAATAGATTTCACTTACCAAAATGGTTTTAAAACACAAAATATACTTAGATACTAAGATGACATATTCGAAGAGAAAAATATAAATGAGGTGTTAACAGACCAGACTTCAAAATTGCATTTGATATAGATTTTAATCATATCTTTTCTGATCCTAAACCATTTTATTCTTATTATAACATATTAAATCTGCTTCAATTGTTTTCTTTCTAAATGTTGTGTAGTTGCAAATCTACCCTCATGATACCAGTGCAAGTTATATGTATATTTTAAGTTATGTTTTCCATCTTGTTGTCAGCATTTATAGAACAGTTGTTGTATAACTAGTAAGAAGATGGATAGACACTTGACTTCTACACAAGGTGTAATGTGATGTGAGAGATAAATGGCTTTTTACGTAGATATATCTTATTGAATGAATGGAAACAAAACAATTGGGTGTCTTTCAGGTTTTGTTAATACAACAGAAATTGATATATCAACACAAATTTACATCATTATTTTACAGCATGATTATAATAAATGCACATACAAAAGAGTTTGTTCATACCAACATTTTCTTAGGCGTTTCCCTATTAAATCATTTCAATACTATTTCTTTTTAATATTTTTTTGATAATGTTTTATGGACTTTATATATCTTATTTTTAGAGGAAGGGCTAAACATAGTATTGGATGGTTGATTGCAGAAGACAATATTTAGCGAGAGTCCAGCCTTTTATATTTTAGCGAACATTAATCAATCCGTTGATTGGATGTGGCAAGAGTTTTCCATATTTCCAAGTTAGGAGCATCCTCGGTAGCCCAAGCTATTTACCGTATACATGTAATAAATGTAGTATACCGTGGGTTCCGCCGATGAGTTAGGAGAGGCTAAATGGGCTCTGTTTGAAAAGATCCAGCATTTTTGAAAAGCAATTAATAGGTAAATCAAAGAAAAACCCTCTATATTTTTAATACATTGTTGCTGTACCAGATTTAATTTTGTGTGCTACGTACTGCATAGATAACCTTTCTAAAGGGAATTCACATCTGTAAAAGCTAAATGGTTTTCTTATTTTTAGTGTCCAAACCTGCAGTTTTCTTACATTCTCGGAATTACTAAGATCAGAGATTTGTTTGTTGGTTTTTATGTCACATCAACACTTTACAGGTCATATAATAACTTTCAAGCTTTACTGGTGAAGGAAAAAGTGTGACATAGGTATTATTTTTAACACGTAGAACCACCAATATTCTATAAGCTAGTTTTGGGATAGCTATGTCAAATAATAGATTCCAAAACCAAGGCAGGACTCGAACCTACATCGTTAACATCGTAAGAAGCAAGTGTTTTGAAGTCAGTGACCTTAAACACTCGACCAAATCTTCCAATTAAGTTATCTGTATGAAAGTATAGCTGCTGTTTGGTTCAGTATTAATTTTCCTTCTTATATGGCACATTATGGTGTTTCACAGTCAGCGCTTCTTTCAGCGGATAGGCAATTTACATTTATGCTTTAAATTTGTTTGAAACATACTTTCTAAAGAAGAAAGATGATGCATGTTTTTTCTGAGGCTAAACGTGCCTCATTAATGTATGAATTATTTGTAGATAATTCAATATAAAAATATAAACACGATCCTATCTTGCTTTTCATAGTACCTACATTTTCAGTTTGACATAAAATTGTTTTATTTTAAAAGCAGAATGCATTTTTCGCATTTTTATTTATCATATTATGTTGTATTTTACAGATGCGAAACAATGTGTCTCTGTGAAAAGGGCAGGCTAAAGGTTTCAACAGCACCGGCCGAAAAAATGAATATAATTTCAGCATTGAACAAGGGCAGGGCAATATGTATATATACATGTGTAGCCTTGTCATACTATATGGATAGTCGGGCCTCGGTGACAAAAAGTGATGAAATAACATTGTGTTTTTTCAGTGTCTTAACATTCAGAATATACATTTTATTTTAAAATGTCTTTTTACCATATATTTTTAACAAAAATTCTATGATAAAGTAAGTGCAATTTAGCATTGGTAAGATATTTACTAGAAGGATTGATTTTCAGAATAGAAATGCAAATACAATGTATACATATAAATAATAATTATTCGTGTAAAATGTATTGCAATTTTGAATGATAAAATGAATTTAGGTAGATTCATACAACTTTATTCTTGGTAGAGCTAACTTGTAAGAATATTAAATGGAATCTGACTTAAAGTAAAAAAAATATTTTATCATTAGTGGGTGGGGTAATGTTTTATACCAGTCTAAATGATGATTTATAGATTATGCAGTGTTGCGACTTTTTGAATGTAATGAACATTTGTTGAAGTGTTTTAGATTAAATAAAGCATGTTTTTGTATTAATGTGTTACTTTGTTAATGACCATATTTGCGTAGAATATCTGGGTTATTTAATTTCACAGATTTTTCTAATTGAAAACACATGATTTCAAAACATGACATTTTTAGCATTTTATACTTCGAATTTTTTTGAGGACTTTTTTCCTGTAGCAACACATATATAGTAGATAACAAATATGCAAATATCTTTTCTGAAGGAATTTGTTTGAGGTTGGGTCTTATTTTTGGCTAAAATGCCTAGCCTATAATGAGAAAGACTGCACAAATAACCGAACACGCGCAAAAGACATGGAAATCGTGCTGCGGTATCTACTATATATGTATCTACTATATATAGAAATATGCATCTATTTAATAGTTATAATTAGTAACTAAAATATTCACACAGTTACTTATTCATTGTCTTACACTATTTATTTACATAATCAATTTTATATGTCTCATATGAAAACAGTCATACTTAGTTTTAAGTTTAACCCACATACTGTTTGAAACTTATATTGTTGATATGTCATGTTGTTACTAATATAAACTGACTAGAAAATAAAAGTGGTTGTTGTTACAAATGTATGCTTCCATTTGTACATTTTGTAATATCTCTAGATAAAAAGCCATAATTTGCTAAGACAGTGGAAGCTAAAACGTGTAATTACCAATCTTAAGTAAATGAGCCGTGTCACGACAAAACCAACATAATGGGTTTGCGACCAGCATGGATCCAGACCAGCCTGCGCATCCACGCAGTCTGATCAGGATCCTTGCTGTTCGCTTACAAACCCTATAACAAGTAGAGAAACTGATAGTGAACAGCATGGATCCTGATCAGACTGCGCGGATGCGCAGGCTGGTCTGGATCCATGCTGGTCGCAAACCCATTATGTTGGTTTTGTCGTGACGCGGCTCAAATGCATTTGTATACAAGATTTTAGCCCTTACAAAGGCTGTATAATAGTTAAAGAGACATTATGCTTATCCAAGGGCTGAACAGGTGAAAGTCAAAATAAGCTATCATTTTGCCATAATTCCTATTAATGTTATAATTTACTTCGCATGATTGACAAATAACTAAAATGGTCCAAGGATATGTGAGTTAATAATTATCAGAATTTACCTGTAATATTCACTTTATAAATAAGAGTACGGGGAGTCTTTTTTATATTTTAGGCAGATTTATATTTTCTCCTTAACATTTACCAGTATCCGCTGCTGGTCAATTACAATTATAACAGTCAATCTTTTGAAATATATAGTCAGTTCAGTTCCACTTGACAATAAGAATATAAGCATAATGTCACTGGACACAATTTATTCCGAAATACTATTATACTCGACCAAATATTATAAAATTTTCACCCCTAATCTTCAAATTCAAGAAAATTACTGAATAATATCGTCAGTTTTGCACGAGAGATTATGACTGCATTCACAATTTAATCTACTTAAACAAACCTTTTTAGTTGCAAGCCTGGTAAATCCATACAAAATTTTGTAGCACTATTGTTATACGTCCAGTCAATGAAAAATGTTTTGCCCAGCACACACGCTGTCCTTTTCTTTATATGTTCCAACTAAAGAAATCGCTATAAACACAACACGTTACTGCTGAACGCGCCGGTGTTCTTAATTATAATTTACTTCCTCAAACGAAAATAAATCTTATATCATTAACTAAGAACACATATGTAGCATGGGGTCATTCACATTGTACTTATTTTATAACATTCCATATGTAAACATATGCATAGACGACTCTTATATGACCCCGTATCATATCTATTATAATGAACATGAAAATGTTCAGTTACAAGTCTTAGTAGACATATTTCTAGCAGTTTAATTAAATTACATTTAAATTGATAGAGGAGTGTAGAGTAACCCAAATAATAAGAACGACTGTACAATTAAAATGGCCCAATATTACTTATAAAAGGCTTAAAGACAGATAACTAGGAAAGGGCGGAGGGTCAAACTTTAAACTGATTGACTATGCAAGGCAACAAGAAGGCCTCGAATGATCAACTGTGCGTGTGTGTTTGGGTTTCTTTACCGCGCCATCGAAATATAAACCATATGGGCGAGCATATACTTTGTTTAAAACTTGCTACATTTAAATTGGAACTAGTATTTCTATTTCTACAGTTTTATCTAAACATGTGTATACGAACGATAAACTGTAGTGATTCGTTAACTGTTGTATCAACACAGCACGTAAACTTCGTGCAAAAAAACGAACACGCGCAAAAAAACAGGGAAATCGTGCTGCGGTGTCTACTTTATATAGAAATATGCATCTATTTATTTATGATAATTAGTAACAAAAATATTCACACAGTTATTTATTCATTATTGTCTAACACTATTTATTTATCTAATCTATTTAATCTGTCCCTCATAAAATCAAATCATACTTAGTTTTAAGTTTAACCCACATACTGTTTGAAACTTATATTGTTGATATGTCATGTTGTTAAATAAACAGACTGAAAAATAAACAGACTGAAACAGTACATGTGGTTGTTGTTACAAATGTATGCTTTCATTTGTACATTTTTTAATATCTTTAGATAAGTATATGTTACTGTTCATCCGTGCTGTTCTACAGAAATTAGGAGCGATAGGAGAATGTTTCTAATTTCTTTAGAATAGCTACATACTTAGTTCCAAGCTTTATTTGTCTGCATTTGTCTTCATAGCTTTAGGGCATAATGGCAGGCTCATAATGACAGGCTCATAATGGCAGGCTCATAAGCGCAGCCTCTTAATATGTGTAACTCGAATATTGTTTGTTACGTAGAAGAAACTATTTTAGCAAATGAAGTGCAAAAGGTCAGTGTAGAGTCTTTTGCAAAGGTAATGCTAAACTTCAGTCAGTCAGTTTGGGTTTCGGGTGTGGGAGAGAGAGACAGTCAAAAGAGCAAACTTCTCGTTGGGAACATAACAATCTTTTAAACAGGATAGGATATACTGTTGTATTCATTTTAATGATGACCAGTTTGAATCATATATTATATAACATATAAACAACAACATCAATAACAACAACATGATATTAAGCATTAAATATGAATAATACATATATACATTGTTGCCAGAACGTTGGCCAGAAACATTCACAAATAAAACCTGAAATAGTACATCATCTATGTCTTACAGAAACAAAAATGTTAAAAATGTCTACTCACTAATAAAATGAAATAACTGTAAACACATTTGAGCCGCGTCATGACAAAACCAACATAATGGCTTTGCGACCAGCATGGATCCAGACCAGCCTGCGCGTCCGCGCAGTCTGATCAGGATCCATGCTGTTCGCTATCAGTTTCTCTACTTGTAATAGGGTTTGTAAGCGAACAGCATGGATCCTGATCAGACTGCGCGGATGCGCAGGCTGGTCTGGATCCATGCTGGTCGCAAACGCACTATGTTAGTTTTGTCGTGACGCGGCTCATTTGTCTTCTATAGAGAGGAGCTTGACATTTTTGATTTTTAGTACTTGATGACCGGCAGTAAGAGATTTAGTACGTAATGATCGACTATCCTAGAATCACCTGACTTTCCAAGTTCGATTTTTTGTTTTTGACGGTGATAAATATGGATAATGTTAGAGGTTATGACTTTACATACAACAGGAAGTTGATGTACTGTACCTCACAAAAGCTGACATTTAGAAACGTTGTTTGTTTGGTTTTTGTTGTTTTTTTTTTTCAATTTTCTATATGTTCGCTAACATTTAACATTCGCTAACGTCTAACGTTTAACTTTCATAGAAATAATGATGATGATTATGATGATGATGAAAATGATGATAATAAAAATAATAATAATGATGAAAATAATAATGATAAAATGATAATGATAAAATTATAATAAAAATAATGATAATAATAATGATAATAATAATAATGATAAAAAAATGATAATGGTAATAATCATAATCATAAAAATAATAATAATAATAATTATAATATTGATGATAATAATAATAATAATAATAATAATAAAAGAAGGAATACGGGGAGAAGGAGAAGAAGAAAAGAAAAGAAAGAAGAAAAATAAACCCTTTATTTACGGAATATTACAAAGTAGGTTTGCACAAACAAATGAGAAAATATAAATATATATTATGAAAAACAACAACAAAAAAGAGAGAAAGAAAAAACAAAAAAAAAAACATTTTTTAGAAAATAAAGTACTTAATTAAAGTCTAAAATCTTTTTAGCAGTAAAAAAACAAATAACTTTTAATATATACAGTACATTTGAATGTAAAATTAAGATTTCTTCACTCGCTCCTCTATCTGCCATTCGAATAAATCATCATAATAATATATAAACTCGTTATAATAAATAATAATAATTTAAACAATGGCAGCTGCTGCAATGTTAAGTGTTTATTTAGTTTGCATTTTAATTTGTCACCATGTTTGAAAGGACACAACAATAGTCTCAATTATATATAGTTTATTCACATCCGGGCGCTGATATATAAATTCCGTCCGGCAAGAACGACAACTCGTACAAAACACCAGAAACTACTGACTTTGCACAGTTATCTTTTGATAATCTTGAAATCTAAATCAAGAAAATTAAAAAAAACCTTCTTTTTTGGGCACGGTAGGACATGTTATTATGCACTATATATTATTATTATTTTTAAAGATTTTTGACAGGTTATATGACCCTATATAAACAGCTCGGGTTGTACTTTGAATATAGAAATTTGTATGACGTTACAATGTGAATAATTGTGGAAAAGATAAGATTATACAAATTTCGTTAGATAGATTTATTTTCATTGAAAATGTTGTGTTTCATTCCCTAAATTTTTAAATATAAATGTGTAATAAACTATATTAAATATGATTAACATTTGCCAGTTCCTATTTTGGTACTTTAACGAATTTCATCAAAATGGTAATAAAAAAATGGTAATGAAATACTACTTAGACGTCGAAAGATGACGTTAAATAGTCGTTTGACTGAGACGTCATCATTGACGTTGTCGTCATGACGTTATCGAAACACATTTGCATTGTTGAATCTTAAATGGATCTACTGAAACGAAACTGAGTTTAAAACGCATGAAATGTAAAATACGAAATAAAATCCATCGGGGTGAAAGTAAATGCCGACGTCAAGTCAAGTTTTGATTTTGCAGAAAAAAATTCCCGGCATATCTCTACCCGAGATTTCCTCAGTAAAATGTACCGTTGCGGGAGTTTACCATTTGGGCGGATGCATGCCTCTAACCGGGAAATCTGTAGCAGACGTAGACGCTGTAAACATTTTAGGGCGGGAATCAGCACAGTTGTTTAAATACCACAATTTACCACAGGGTTATTCGAGTATTCTTTCGCTAGACAAACTCAGCGGGTTTTTGCAATGGCAGGCACTAGGAGGTGATGACCGTCCACAAATCTCTGGATCAGAGGGAGGGATCCAAAGGCGGTGCATCAGTGGTTCAGCAGCAGAGTATCCAGGATATAAAATCGGACAGAGACCGCGTTCTGCTAACTCTGGCAAGTCGTCAAAAGTTCGCCTGAACCCCTTTGTATTTGATTCTCTAATAAAACTTGGATTCAACAGATATACTCTGCTTAAAAAAGCTGACATTGTGTTTGACGGGTTCTCATCAAGAAAGGTTGTGAGTTCGAAACGCTGTTCTAAAACAACGCAAACGGAGACCTTGACTGGTAGCAATTTCCCTCAACAACAATCTGGGGAAGAACACAGAACAGGTGTAAATGAGGCCGTGTATGTAATTAAGTATTCATTTTTTTTCTAATTTTGTTGTGCTTTTTATTGCTTCCATTAAGATAATGTTCTTATGTCATATACTGCCAATTGGTATATTTTATTTCACTTCATTTTCATAACTCAGCAACAACAACAACTTACATTCAAAAAATAAAGTTAGAATAAATAATTGAATCGTGAAATAAGCACTTCCTTTATGTTCGTTGTAACGTAAAATTGGATGAAAGACAGTTGCCATTTTAAACATGTTTTCAATTCTGGGAATGCGGAATATATAAACTTACTAGTACAGTTCTTTCATTATCACACACCCGTGCCGATTTTGCGACTCCGTAAAAATGGTATTGCACGGCCGTGCATATATTTTTAACGTGAAGTTATTAGCGTTTTACAAACATAGTGTTAAGACGCACTAAAAGTTAGCGTTATGCTATAGGCGCGTCAATGAAAATGACTCTTTTTTTTCACTTTAAACGGTTTTTATTTTGGGTATGTGATAAATAGAATATTGAATTTGTGTAAGTCTAATATTGAATTTATTCAATATTGAATTTACATTTATTCAATATCCTCTATATGAAAATGGGTCTAGCTAGCATTGAAAACGCAATCTTGTTTAAAAGCAGCCAAAAATAAAAATAACAGCTGGAAGAACGGCCATAGCCACACCGACAAAAAACAATCACAGTGAAATTGACTTAAAAGTGATATTGATAATATACATGTATTGGAAAAAAATGTTAATAATGATGATATCGATGGTGGTGGGAATCGTGGTGGTGGTGATGATGGTTATCGCTATCATCATAATCATCATCATCGTCATCATCATAATTATCATCATCATCATTATAATCATCATCATCATCGTCATCATCATCGTCGTCATCATCATCATTATTATCATCATCGTCATCATCATAATAATAATCATCATTTTATTTCATTATTATCAAACTTTTGATAACATTTATCATAGTTATCACGACAGTTATGAATAAAATTCTTATTAGTATGAAGACATAGACATGATGCCAGTTAAAATGTATGGCAAACGGCTCACGATGTGATATAATTATTTCATGCATACACATTTTATTTTTTTTTTAAAGCATATTAACGGTACAAAATGAATATGATTTTTTAAAAGAATCAGAATGCCTGTGATCTATAACGTTTCAATTATGGATTTTGAGCATGTTAAATGCTTACGACGCGACGAAAGTAACGTTAAATGTGAAATAATTTGTCATAAATAGTAGCGAAACAAAAACAAAGTGGTATTTTGTTTATTCCATATACAATGATAAATGAGCCGTGTCATGACAAAACCAACATAATGGGTTTGCGACCAGCATGGATCCAGACCAGCCTGCGCATCCGCGCAGTCTGATCAGGATCCATGCTGTTCGCCTACCAACTCTATTACAAGTGGAGAAACTGATAGCGAACAGCATGGATCCTGATCAGACTGCGCGGATGCGCAGGCTGGTCTGGATCCATGCTGGTCGCAAACGCATTATGTTGGTTTTGTTGTGACACGGCTCAAATAAAACATCATTAAATCCTTGTAAATGACCACTAACAATTATGACAAGATTGTTCAGTTATATTGGCCGATGAGTATCGTTTCGGGAAATGCAACAGAAACATTAAAAATGAAAAAAAAGAATAAACGAATATTAGTTTAGAGACTTAATAGGACTTTAAATAATAACTGTTTGTTTGTTTTGTTTTGTTTTCTTCAAATATAGTTATATCTGAGTTATATATAAAAAATAGAAATACTTTTTGCAACGTAGATACCATAAAAACGTTTTAAACCATTATAGAATTTCCCCTGTGATGATTATGGTATACCACAGTGTCTTCTTTAATATAAATATTTTCAATTGAATATGAATTTTGCGATTTTATACCGAATAATTATTATATATTTTAACGCTTTAAAGATCAACTTAACATCCGATATGCTATCAAATAATTTACAAAGAATATCTTTTTAAATAACTTGAAACAGACGACGGAACGGGCGTACAAAAATGTTGAAGCTAAAAAAAAAGCATAACATTTATTGTCCGTTTCGTTCAAGTACGTTTCACTTCAAAAATGCTAAATTTAAAGTTAGCTATAATTGCATTTTTATATATTATATATACACAAGTACATATATCAATACCAATCAATTCTCTTTCTCAAACATTTCTTTTACAAATTTAAATCTAGACGTTTTAAAAATCATAAACTCCAAATATATACATTTAAAGTGGGGGTGAATTAAAAAATCCTTGACTATATATGCGTACAATAGGCGGTCTTCCGTTTTGTTACCCGGGCTATTTAATCAATGGATCAGCGCCATATCAAATGTACAATTTACATTGTAAATGCGGTAGAGTTTTCAAAGGGATAAACGGTTTGTTTTCCAAAGGATCAAATTAGAGGCACGGTCCAATTTTAATGTTTAAGAATGCGGGTAGATATCCTTTAAAATTCGCATTCAGACTTTGACAAAGATAGCAATTTGATAATCATATTAAATCTATATGGAGGTTTAAATTTAATGATTAACTAACTTATTTACAAGCTTTAAGGACTGTGGTGTGAAGGAGAATTATTTAGAAAAGGTGTGAAACAAAATTATATTTGAAGGAATAGACACATAAGTAAGAAATTTTTTGTAATTTTTATAATTAAATACATTTAACAATTCATTAAATAACAGTAAAAATGTTTTATTAAATCTATGCGTTGAGTAAATATATATTTTTAAATTCATAAATGCGCACACTTAATTGTAATAAAGATAATAGATTACTTTGCATTACCCTAATATGATTTTTTTTCTAGTAAAAAAGATATAAAGGTAGTTCTGTGTATTGCGATGCTATTGTTTCACATATTTTTATTCACTCACTCATTCGCCGAGTGAAAACTAACCATCATAGCATCCATGAACTAAGTCATAACTTTTACATGTTCTTTTTAATTACAATAATATCTCTATTGATACATATTTATTTTATTATCCTGTTTTTATTCATACATGTTCATGATATTGCCTATTCACCTTTCAATAATTTATATCTTAAAGTTCAATATTCGCTCATACATATTCATGTTATTGTCCTATCTCTGCTCATACATATTCATGTTATTGTCCTATCTCTGCCCATATATAATCATGTTATTGTCCTATCGCTGCTCATACATAATCATGTTATTGTCCTATCGCTGCTCATACATAATCATGTTATTGTCATTTCGCTGCTCATACATAATCATGTTATTGTCCTATCGCTGCTCATACATAATCATGTTATTGTCACATGTGTATTGTATTTATCATTTTTATTTATAACTTATGTTAGGGTTTTATCTTCATTCATACGTATTAAGTCATGTTATTGCTCAAACTCCGCACCAACATTGTCATGTTATTATCTTATCTCAATTTATACATATGTATTTAAATCTCATATCTCCTTTCATACATTTTTATGCAAGGGGTTCTATCTTTATTCGTTAATGTCCTTTCTTCATTAATACGTATTTGTGTTGTATTTTTCAGTAATAAGGCAGACTCAAAAGACGATCTTTCTGATTTCGGTAGTGACAATGATGAACTGTGTGAAGAAAACCGTGTGAAACCTTCAATGCACATGCGCAGAGACGTTCCCGAGTTAAGGCCACGTGCGGCCATCTTTAGTTTTCGCGACAACGAATTCACAACTCATGCAGAGGTTAAGTACTTAATTGAAACGCAAATTGGGGTCCGTGTAAAGTCAATCCAGTTCGATCCTTTAGATGTGCGGACAGGCAAGCCAAAAGTGCACAGCAGATGGATTGTGGATTTTTTCAGTGACTGGGACCTACATGAAGCGTTAAAAAATGGCCTTAAAGTTGGAAAGGATAAACTATTGTTCTTTAAGCATGACGACATAGCTAAGCGCGAAGTGTCTTCATTCAAATATTACATGGCAGTGCAGAACGCAAAGAAAGCGCTGAAAAGCAAATCACTTACAAGCAGAACTATACCAAAACGTCCAGCAAAATCAGTAAAGAGTCTTAATTAATATCGCATCGAATCAATGACAAATCCTTTTCTTAGGTTCAAAGCATTGTTTAATAACATGGAAGATAACTCTTTATTAAATCATGATATAATCATTTACGAGTTGTTTCGCTTAGTCCAGACACTCGGCGAAATTTGTAATGCGTTGGATCAGGCAACCTGTTTTCGATTCCCGAAAGGTGCAAATATTTGTGTTATGTAATTAACCATTAAAATCCTTTTGCAGCCACTCGCACAGTATGTTTGCCCGGGAACAGTGCGGGGGTTGAATTGTGCTCTTGTGTATCATTGTAGGGGCACTGCACAGATCCGTAGGGTAATAAACAAACTCCAGTTTTCATAAAAAAATCACGTTTTCGCCGTTAAATTAGCTCTGCTAGAGTCCTCTTATCACTGAATAAAACTATTAGAGCCGACCTACGACAAAACCAACATAATGGGTTTTCTACCAGCATGGTTCCAGACCAGCCTGCGCTTAAAAACCCTATTACAAGTAAAGAAACTCATAGCGAACAGCATAGATCCAGATCAGACTGCGCGGATGGGCAGGCTGGTCTGGATCCATGCTGGTCGCAAACCCATTATGTTGGTTTTGTCGTGATGCGGCTCATGTGATAAGTTTTTCAGACTCTGTACTTTAAGATGCCTGTTTGAATAAAAAATGTTTAAGACTTTAAAGAGGGAAAAAATTATCCGAAATGAAACAGTCAAAAGTTCATTCAAAAATATAAAAAATAGCTTATGCTACAATGGGATGTTTTAAAATATTTATAATTGATATATTATATATTTCTAAATTTTAATTTATCATCTGTTATGTCAAACAAAAAGGTATATTTTTTTTAAGTCGAAAACGATAACGTTTTCATTATTAGCATAAGGACTCTTTCTTAGATTTGACGGAACTTAGGTTTGGTAGTATTTTGTCCATTGCCGTATAAGAACATTAAATATTCCAGACAATTGGAAATACATGTAGTATAAGATTGACAATTACATGTATATAAGTTACAATATTATACGACTAACGTCCAATTTGCTTATTTTGCTCCGAACAGTCGGAAGTGACAAATATTACTCCGGATCGGAAGCATAATATGTTTATTCAGATATAATCAATTAAAATTATATTTTGGCCAAGAGACAACGTGCTGACAAATACAAGATATAATAAACTCTGGATATCAGAAGCTTATAAATTATGTTTTATAAAAATTAGTTGCATTATGAAAAGAGAGATACTGCCATGAGTTTTTATATCAGAACTAAAGGAAATACATCTATCAAGCATATCAATATCAAAACTGCCATACAATATCCAGGACATTTCAAACCAGAACAATTACTCTAACAGGTTTGATGGTATATTCGTCTACGGATTACTGTCAACCTACGTAAAACCTTTTTTTGCTTTTTGTTTTCCTTTTTTAAATTTAAGAGTTGGCATGCACAGAGGAAACCTCCTCAGACTATTCTTCGGAATATAGAACAACGGATCGTGCTCAGATATGCCAATAAACATATAAAATACAGCTCATTAAAGAGAAACGTTCTGCTTTTGCAAAGCATTGTAGCATATTTTTAAAGAAAACGTACAATGTAACGTAATATCTAATGTAAGTTTGCCTGAAACCATATAAAAACCACCTTTATATCAATTTATTACATGCTTTTCGATGTTTTATAGAAATATATCAGTGAATTGAAACTGATAATTTCACTGTTTGAAACTGACTTTGTTTCAGTGAAATACCAGCGTACACAGAACTGGAAACCAACTTAATAACGTGACGTCGTAAATGACGTCACGTTGTATAATTATTTGGCGCGCTATTTTTTTAACTAAACTTTATGAAAAGACACCTGCCTTGTAAAGGGAGATAACTAGTATAAATATCAACATATGACCAAACTCCTCGCAGCGGTTACTTCCCTTTATATGTACACTAACTTACACTACGCCGAAGAATAAAGGGGAGATAACTGTGTGGAGATTGCATAATGACATGACAGGGTTGTCTCCCTTCTAATAAACTAATATATTCGATGGTATCATTATGTTAATATGGGTTGTGCAAGTCTGCTCAGGATCCATGCTGTTCGCTGTCAGTTTCTCCACTTGTAATAGAGTTGGTAAGCGAACAGCATGGATCCTGATCAGCCACTATGTTGGTTTTGTCGTGACGCGGTTCATATGTTGATCACCAGATATTGCAAATAAAGTGATAAATAAACGCCTAATAAAGGGCAACATCAGCTTTTAAACAATGGAATGTATAGTGGCTGATTTGTGTCGTGTTATATTTTTGCTCCGCGAGGCGCAAAGATGAAAGCATGAAAATACGACAAAGTCAACATTTTGTTGTTCTCTAGCTCCGCGGGGCGAAATTTAACCGAAAACACGATAATAGTGACTTTGTCGTATTATTGTGTTTTCGAATTGCGCCGCGCGGAACGACAGTACGACAAAGTTTTGTTTTAAAACTCGTTTGCTCAATCGGAACAACCTCGGCTGATATCTATAATAACCTCGGAGTTAATACGGATTGGAAGTAGTGCTTCCACGTGCCTTCAGATGTAAACAGAAACAGAGAATGTTATCTTCGGTTATGCAAAACGAATAAATTAATTTTTGACATCCAAAGGAAACTAAAGTCTGTTTCGGTACAATTATGATTGAAAATATGTCTGACAACCATATTTAATTTTACTATGCCCGCTGATGTACAATTTTAAACAAATCCGATTTGATGTCAACAGGTTGGTATTTTGTACTTTCGGTTTCTACAACCATAAAAATAAATATATAAACAAGAGCCATGTTAACATGGCCATCCCCCGCCGACTGTGTTTGCTCATTGGAAGAACCTATTTTGTAGTAGAGCCGAATAATTCAATTTTAAGAGGTCTTTTGATAATGAGTACTGATGTCGAAGTGATAACAGATTTGAAACCTATGTGAATACTGATGGCTGAAAAATAGAGGGCAATAACTGAAAAATAATGCAGGGTAGGCTATCAATCTTGTGTGCTGCAATCCTCCTCAATGAGATCTATCCATCTATGAAATTTCAAGTTGATACCTCTAACACTTTTTAAGATAAGCTCCGGACAAAATAGTATGAAAAATAACAAAGGGCAATAACTCAAAAATTATAAAGAGTAGAGATATCATTCTTGCGCACAACATTCCTCCTTAATAAGAAAAATTATGAGGGGTAGATATATCATTCTTAAGCACTGCACTCCTCTTGAGTGAGATCTATCCACTTATGAAGTTTCATATTGATATTTCAAAGGTTTTTTGTATAATGCACTGGACAAAAATTAAGTTTGATAAATAACAAAGGGCAATAGCTCAAAAATTATGCAGGGTAGAGTTATCATTCTTGTGCACTGCACTCCTCCTCAATACGATTTATCCACCTATAATGTTTCAAGGTGATACCTCAAATACTTTTTGAGATATACTCTGGACAAAAATGTCGAACGGAAGGACGGACGGACGGACGGACGGAGACTCTTTCTATATCCCCCGTCGCCTTTCGGCGGGGGATAATAATGTATTGTTTTATTTTGTATCTATGAATTCACTTATTTTAGGCTGATGTTTACTTGATATATTAGAAAAAAATTTGTCAAGAACTCCCAGAATAAAAGTACTACTGTTTACATGCTTTGTTTCTAAGCGTAGGTTATACCGAAATACCGTATTCGTTCTGTGTGAACCTTATCCGAAGACTAACGGAAAGGGCCGAAAAGTTGCGATTGTCGTTTGCTTAAACAAATCTGTAACATTTGTACACCAAATACAATCCGAATTAATTGATGTCAATTGAATGATAACAACAAAAGGAACTATTAAGGGTTTCACAGTGCACCCTAAGGTAATTAAAGCCGTGCTATTATAAAGTATTATTTAGAGAGAGGACAATAAGTGTTCATTTTACTTACAAGCAAAACAAAAACATGGTATTTCCGATTTGTTAACCTTTTAATCATAATAATCAAATTAGTGAACAAAAATACGAACCATAAACCTCGAATAATTCCGTTTGATAAAACATGTATTACGAACATGTTTTTTTTTAGTTTGTCTGTCCCCCTGAACAACAAAAATAAAAAAAAATGATTGTATCATATTTATTTCTTTCTTTAAGTATAAGAACATAATTATGTCATTGTTTCACAACTTAAATACATATAGAGATATATCTAAAGGAATACAAAAAATTAACCGATGCATATTATAACGAAAGGAATTACTGCTGCATAATTAATTGTATTTCTTCTCATAAATCAGCTATTCGGAAAAAAAATCGGACCTATTTAACAATGAACTTATAACGTATATGACAAAAAAAGATGTCCCTGAAATTTTTTTAACCTTTAACTGTATAAATAATTCAAAGTTACTTCAAACGATTTAAATAAATAATCTGTTGACTTACACACACATTGGAAGTTTGCTTCGAAAAATCCACACAATTAATTATATCTAAATCAGTACAATTGTTCAACTAAAGTGTCCTTTCATTCCCAGTTCTGTGTCAAATTGTAAGGTCTTCGTAATTTGAGTAGTAAAATCTTTCAACGTTGATATTTATAAACTGCAATCCACTTTTACATAAGCATTGAATCTTTTATTGTGTTCCACAACTTTATAATATGTATTGCTCTATAAAATAAGTTCTCGGATTTTTTACTTCCCTTTTCATCTTGATCTCTGCCAATTGCACTTCTCTCATCTCCCTCCATTTCTTTAGCGCACCGACTGTTTGTTTCGTGCTCACATGTTGGTACTTCTTTTCGTAATATGTTCGCCTTTCGGTGCGTTTCTTATTTCTTGATCTATCTCCATGAATCAGTGAAACGAGCCTGTCTTTCAGTTTCGACGTCTTGTTGTGCACCGTTTGTATACAAACGCTTATAGAATCTCTAAAGTTTGGCATCGTTCAAATATGGACTGTATACTCGGCGCAGTCACCGCTATAACAGCCACAGAACATGCAGAATGACGAGAAATATCCTAAATACGAGCATTATATAAGCAATATCGCAATTTGTGTTTATCACATCTTTGTATTGAACTCAG